GTGGTTACTCTGTGAAATAAAGGTTTCACATCAGGAGATGCTTTATTGTTGGGGGAACATTTAAGGAATCTGACATTTCACTGAGCCAAGATTTCATGTCTACAAATGTCATATTCCAGAAAATTGTTTCATTGTTCTTATTATAAGCAAATGTACATTTTCTTATTCTCTTCAAATTTTGTATTACCAGCTAATATTTTTCTTAAATTGTTTTTCTTTTAAGGAATGGGGATTTTTTTTTAAAGCATTGTTTTATGTAGACCAAGATGAATTGCCTTTGAGTGGATCACCTGCTGAGTAGTCTTTTGAGGTTAGTAGTTTATCACTGGATAAAAAAAGCTAATTACAACTCAGATGCAGAGTTTATGAACATTTTTTCAAATTAGTTGAAAATTAGTTGTAAGATGTCTGTTTCTGGGAGTTTGGCAGTTTATATACTCTGAATGACTCCCAGTTGAAACAACTGAAATGTAAAATATAAAGTATCTTTCCAAATATATTGCTAAGTTGGCATGAAAGAAGGGAAACCATAAAGACCAAAGATGAAATGAAAGCAGGAGTGCTGGAATATGAGCTGGATTGTCCCTGAATGTTTCTGCTGGGGAAAGAGGGAAAGGGGGATAGGAAATAAAGCATAATTGGGAGTCTGCTGAGACATACTGTCAATATAAGGATGACTGATAAAAATAAATTTGCCAGTGGAGAGGCTGGGGATCGGGAGTGAACAGTAAGGAAACCTGCCTGTCTTTACCTAGGCACTAGAAGGGGTAAGGGAAGACAGGGTGTGAATTCTCCTAAAACACGAGAAAGGCCATCACATGAGTGCAGGTTGACTTGGTTGTCCCAATGAGATCCAAAATCCTCATGCCAAGAATTTAATTATATTGCTGTCAGGTTGGTTGCATCCCAAGAGGCAAGAAAGGAAACGCACATCTCTGAAAGAGTGCTACTTCAACCCAGGCCTCCAAGAATTTCCACAGATAATGTTTCAAGGAAAATCAGCAGTTCACAGTAAAAAAAGGTCATAAATCAGATGAAGAAATTCACCAGCATGAGAAATTAGAGCCAGCAGAAATACTGGCTGCTGGTCAAATTATCAGATGCCTAGTGAAAAATGAATATATTAAATATACTTAAACAGTGTGATGCTCCTTTTAAAAAATAAACAAGAAGCTTGAAAGGATGAGCAATAAATAAGATACTGTAAAAAATGACCAGCCAGATATGAAAAATGACTAAGTAGAACTTCTAGAAATTTTTAAAAAAGAAAAAAGAAATTTAAAAAAAGCTTATTAACATTAAACATTCATTTATTAGGCTAAGGAAGAGATTAGACACAGCCAAAGAGATAATTAGTGAAATAGAATGTAGATATATAAAGGAACTACCTAGAATACAGCCCATCACAAGGTGGACATTGAGTTTATAGACACAGAAGTTTATAGGCACAGAAAGAGCAGACTGTTTCCAAAAATGATAAACTACAGATTGAGACAAACCATTTTGCAGAAAACAACTAGAAAAGCTGGGGAAAATGCCTGTTTGAAGGCATCACATAGCTAATGAGAAAGTGATTAATAACTGGTCTAAGATACTACCATGAGAATGCTGTAGCTATTTTAATATGAAAGTAGACTTTAAAGCAGAAAGCATCACTAGAGATAATACTTAATAAAAGGTTCAATTCAGTTTTATTTAGATGTGATACTTCTTTGTGTATCTAACATCATGATTACAAAATACAGGGAGCAAAAATTAATAGAAATATGAGCAAAAACAGACAAATTCACAGGCCTAGATGAACATTTTTTAATATACCTTTTATGTGACAGAATGGCTAAAAGAAATCAGTAAATATATAGAAGATTTGAACAATCTGATTAACAACCTAATAGGCATGTTTACCATATCACACCCAACAACTTCAGAATACACATTCTTTTCAATAACATATGGGAATATTTTATGTATATTTTCTTGAGACGGGGTCTTCCTCTGTCGCCCAGGCTGGCATGCAGTGGCATGATCTCGGCTCACTGCAGCCTCCACCTCCTGGATTCAAGCAATTCTCTTGCCTCAGCCTCTCAAGTCGCTTGGATTACAGGTGTGTGCCACCATGCCTGGCTAATTTTTTTGTGTTTTTAGTAGAGACAGAGTTTTGCTGTGTTGTCCAAGCTGGTCTCAAACTCCTGGCCTCAAGAGATCTGCCTGCCTTGGCCTCCCAAAGTGCTGGGGTTACAGGTGTGAGCCACCATAGCCAGCCTCCAATCACTTACTTTAAATTTGAGTTTTTATTGTGGGGAAGGTACTAATAGTTACTTTTAGAATTTTTTTTTTTTTTGAGACGGAGTCTCACTCTGTCACCCAGGCTAGAGTGCAGTGGTGCAATCTCGGCTCACTGCAAGCTCTGCCGCCCAGGTTCACGCCATTTTCCTGCCTCAGCCTCCTGAGTAGCTGGGAATACAGGTGCCGGCTACTACACCTGGCTAATTTTTTTTGTATTTTTTAGTAAAGATGGGGTTTCACCGTATTAGCCAGGATGGTCTTAATCTCCTGACCTTGTGATCCTCCTGCTTTGACCTCCCAAAGTGATGGGATTACAGGCGTGAGCCACTGCGCCTGGC